TTTTTTTTTTCTTCTGGATTTAGTTAGAATTGCGTTTTAGTGGCGTCAATGACGGTAATTAAAAAACCTTTAATTATTAGTGTCTTTTTATGACTTGGCATCTCAGTTGTAGATGCCGCTGTTAAACTAATGATGGAATCCTACAAATTCATATCTTTAGAGATTCTGTCATTTCAGTCCGTTTTTCTTTTGCTTTTTACCTTTTGCTGTACCGTATTGGGCTCGAATAACCGCCCGACGCTAATTACATTTTTCACGCCTCAAATGCGGCAGTTATTGGAGGGCGGCTATTGCTGGTTTTCAGTGTCACGCCATCCGAAATAGATCAAAATCAAAATCAAAACCATTCGACAGATAAAGTCCAGAATCTGGGAAATGAAAGGAGGTAAATATACAAAGACCCTCGCCAAGATTTGGGTCGAAGGAATAACTCGTGTACGAGATATCCGAGGAAATGTTTTACCCAGATTTATAGAGCTTTCATATGGAGACGCCATGCTGGAGCTCATCCGGATAAGCTCCAACATGGCGGACGGAAACCAACAGAAACATATGTTACCGAGTTTTGCTACAAAAGCGTGAATTTACTCCTAGAGGAACTCATAAACATTAAAGTAATACTTTTTCTAACACTTGAACCGTTTAGATAGCAAAAAATCTCGAAAAATGTCACTTGTTTTATCCTAAATTACAGCTCTTTCGGCCGTCATGTAAATGCTGCGTCACGCAAAAGCTTAGAAATTCAAGCGTACTCTATTACAAAACCAAGAACCCTGTTGAAGCGAAAATTTGTATGAAAAATAGTTTTCAGCAGCTCTAATACACCATGAAAGTAAAATCTCAGCAGGATCGATAGTTTTGTGGTTTGAATTTTAGTGACGTCATGTGAAAACCAACAATTATTTATAAGTCGGGCGGGAAAGATAATCGTTTTCACTAGGTGTTATTATTTTCCGTATCAAGCTTACAGATTATAAAAAGGTACCACACAGCGCCGCCTATTCAGGTGCATAGCTTATAAACTCATTTTTCCCCAATGCCGCGCTTATTCGAAGGCCCTTAGTCTAGTAAATATGAGATTTTAATTTTGGTTGGGTGAAATTATCCGAGTTTGTAGTTTTCAATGTTGCAATTTTTTTTACTCTGAATGTTATTCGTCTACGCTTTTTACTAGCCTGTGCAGACGTAAACCATATTTCCTCGAATAGTGTCCGCACGCGTACCACGTGACCGAGTTTCCCCTTTACTTACTGTTCATTATGACTACATAGAAATGGGTAGTTTCACGCCATTTTTGTCAATACGAATTGATTTAGCTGTTGTTTATCCGCTCAGTTCTTATTTTGACAATTTTCAACTCTAAATCTCTCTAATAATCCTTAGCTTTTTTGTTCCGTTCACGTTAACAAAGCGCCTTACCATTGATTGTCAGAACAGATGACAGACCCGCGTTGCCTGTCATTAAAAATAGTTTGATAGTTGCTTTCCTTTCAAGCAATTACCGCTATGTGTTTCGGCCTATGTGCAAAACCTAAGCACCTAGAAGGTCTTTCAATAGTTTAAAGAAAGCCTAAATATTAGCCAACATCGTCAATGTTTTGAACTTACAAAACGGTTTCATGCAAAATCGCTCTTGCGTTTCTCAGTTACTGTCAGTCCTACATTCCATTGGAAGAAACCTCGAGAACAACATTCAAACAAATATTCTGTATCTGGACTTTGCCAAAGCATTTGATTCTGTAGTGGACCACGCCATCCTCCTTGAGAAGCTTGACAGATATGGTGTAGCTGGACATCTACACGATTGGTTCAAGAACTGTCTGCAGCACCGTCAGCAAAGAGCAGTTGTAGATGGATTCACCTTCAGTTGGGCCCCTGTAACCTCCGGAGTGCCTCAAGAAGTCTGCTTGGCCCAAGTAGTATAGGAGGGATGTTTTACCCCGGTTTTTTGGGCAGGAATTTCACTAACTTGGGCAGGAATACATTAACGCCAATGACGTCATAACCTTTTGTCTTGATCTCATGAATAAAATGAGCAGGAATCTCATAAAGATAAGGTCATGTGCTATTTTTAGTTAGTCTAGGTTTTCTAGTTACTTTAAGGTCGATAAACATCTTCGTTTTCGATTGGTTAGTTAGAAAATAAGAAATGTTTCCATTGGCTAATTCGTAGTGTCTGTCAGTATTGCGTTCTTTCAATGCATAGACTGCCAGCAGTCTATCTTTTTTCTTCAGATTTCGTGACGGGAGTGCACTTGCGCTCGCGCGAACGTCGAGAGACGCCAGAAACGAGGGTGGCAGCCGTGTCTCTCCCGTCTTCAGTCACGCGCGTTTTGCTCGACGGGCTAAGAAAAAGAAGAGGCTGCTCAAAGTCTAACTATTCAGGGCAAGATTTTTTAAAACACGAATTTTGAGCAAGCAATACAAATTTCTTTGCGAGACTTTTCGCTCATCCCTCGGCTCCAAGAACAGCAAAAAATATGCCTGTGATTGGTTGCAA